GAACTACTCACTCACAGATAGAGATGGACCCTCTTACTTCTTAAGCTTTTGTGTCCCCTCTATAATATTTAAGCACTAAATAATCTTTTCTTTAGCTCACATATGCACAAAAGCAAACTGGAGGAACATCTTAGAGCAGAAATTAGTCCTCTGGTACAATAGCTAACAGGCTAATAATTTTTTTTCAAGTGAATAGTTGTATTGTCTTCAGTAAGAATCATTACATGCATATCCAGCTGCTATTACATCATTTTGTTCCAGACTGTACATATTCTGGAGGCCTTTGTGATAGTTATGAAATTTAAGCAAAAGCTATTGTTAAACTGTATGCATTCTCCCTCTCTTTAAATACGTCAAGCTAATAAAGCCATAATTTTTTTAAAAAATAGTTTGCAATGTACTGCTTTTTGCTGTCATCCCCAAAATCTAATTTTATTCTAATCTAACCTCTGTAAGACCAAATTAGTTAAAACCATGTTTCTAGTATGAATATTTGGTCTTTCTTTCTCAAAAAATAATGGGCTAAATTCACTATATTACAAAGGAAGTTGTTTGATGTAATGCAAGGATGGAATATCTCAAACTAGATAAAAGAGTGCTTGTAGGCTTTTTGTGCTTCATTAAAAAATACATAAAAATTAAGCATGATTATTAGTAAAAAAGCAAGCAAAATAAAAGCTTTTCCTTTTTGTACTCTATTAGCTTAATTTATAATACTGTTGCTCTAGAACTTTCATTAAGTGGTCTAAATTGAGGGTTCTATTATTCTGATGGATCAGATTCTCAGTAGAAAAACATCTTAGTGAGGGTAATAACAGCTTCTATTTTCTATTATTAAGAAGCTGTGAAGCAAAACTCAGGCTAAAGTCAGAAGTCTTCTGTGTCTCCTTGGAAGAAGCTGGGACAGTTCTCACTTCCAGGTATGTGGCCCCTGGCACTTGGGGTGATGCAATGAGGGAACGTGTGGCAGTGTGGCAGGCATCACGCTCTCAGGGCTGTTGTGCACATATTGATAACTCCAGGGAGCTTTTGCCTCCACTTTTAGCCCCCAAGAACCAAACACTGCAACTACCAATGTACATCACAGAGCCAGCAGGTTATCTGTTTTTCAGGGTTTAAATATGGGAATGCGGATGTGGCTTTCCTCCTGGTATGTTGGTGAACCTTTAGTCCTTCACAGAGAGAGGTATTTTTTTATCCCAGTAATATAGGATTATTCCTGTATCCCAGGATGCCTGGGATGTCCTGGAACATCTTGGCCCATGCTTCTTTTTTTTTTCACTCAGTTTTGTCTTCATTGCAAAATGCACCTTGCTTTTGATAAGAATGGTATAATTTTTCATCTGCTAAGCATAGGTCTTAAATGGCTATATCAGGTACAAAAGAGTAGTGAAAAAATACCATTCCTGAAGCATAAGAAAGTACAGGTAGGATACTGGTAAGTTTTTAATGATTAACAGATTCTGCACATCAACTTTAGCAAAGCTTTGCAGGGCAAGAAAGATTGGGTAAAAAAAAAAAAGAGAGAGAGAGAGAGAGAGAGAGAGAGAGGACTTATCACAGAAAATCCTTGGTTTATCACAGAAAATCCTTGGTTTATCTTTCCTCTTAATCACATTTCTCAATTCTATTATTGTGTTTCCAGCCTGAAAAAAAAAAAAAAAAAAAAAGTATAGTCTCAAAGATAAGACATTAAGAAGGTAGAACACAGAAGATCTACTCTAGATCTCAATGTGCATTTGTAATCTGGGCAAATCACTAGGTTTGGGTTCTCATTGAAAACATAAAGTAAGGTATGTAAATCTACTTCTAGGAGGCAACTAAACTCATAGATAAGATGTGTGGTATAATCTCACTGGGGCAATGGGATTCCTGAAGGTAGCTACATGGGCTTCTGCTCAGTATTGCCCCGCTCAGCTTCTAGAGATGTTGCCATACTGCCTGTAAAACATAGATGTCTGAGGAAAGACCCGTAGAAATCAACAGGTGAAGAAGAAAGCAGAGGTAGACAAGTGAGAAATATAGAAGTAAGTATTTCTGCTACTTAAAGCACACTATCATGTGTCTCAGCACATAGATTAACATCATGTAGTTTCTCATGAAAAGATATAGAACATATGTTGACCATCTACAGTGTCTTTAGGATCCAGTCCCACAGCTGGAACAGTAGCTATGGAAGTTTACATCTGGGTAGCAGTAATAGAACAGGTTTTTGTCAAGACAAAGAAGTTATTTCAAGGCTGAAATATTCATGGATATATGGATATATTCCATGGATAAATGGATATATATGGATATATCCATTTATCTTGGAAAAGGTAAAATAAGTGATTTTGTCTAACTGGGAAATATTTTTCAATAGTTTACTTTCGGTCTACGTAATGATCAGATGTTTGATAGAGGTCATGAAACATGATCTCATTGGAGTTACTGGAGTTCAAAACTCAGATTTTGGTTATTTATTCGTTTGTTTTTTGTCTTTATGGGATCAGAGCTGGGGAAATAGGTGATAATGTAAAAAGAGTTTACATACCTGGGAGGTATACGGCTTTCTTCTCTTACAATCCATTTCATCTCTCTTCTTTTGACCACCATCTTCTGTATGTTTCTCTATTTTATGTAAAAGAATTAAGTCTTTGACAAAAACATTTCTAAATCTCTATCTACAAATTCATTAAATGTCCTCATGTTAAAAAAGAAAAAAACATACAGAACTGGTTTGAAAAGAGAAAGAAATGGCTTATAATAAGCCATACACAAACCATAAGAAAAGCAAACTTCAGGAAAATTTCAGAATGCAGAGCAGCAATCCCAAAAGTGGGAAGAAAAACAATACAGTGCCCCATCTTTAACAAAAGGAACCATTTATCATGCCACCTAAATGCATTAATAAGCCATACTTGTGTCACAAGCACTTTATCACACAGCTACAGCCATGCAAACATGCTAATATAGGATTAGTTTAGCCAATTAAGAGAACAAATTAGAACAAAAGAGTGTCTTGTGTGTCCAATTGCTATAGAGGTCCAGGACAGGAGTGAGATATAGTTGTAAAGAATGTTCTTCCAGAAGCAGAGGAAAAAAAAAAAAAAAAAAAAGCAAGATTAAATTACACACAAGCTTCCCATGAATAAAAGGCTAGGGAAGCCTCCACCACCTAAGCAGAAGGGTGTATTTCCAAATATATGCTTATTAATCTTCAAATTCTACCTTCTCAAATAACTTAAATTTAGATATTTCTTTTGCTGTTTTTTTTTTTTGTCTGTCTTGTCTATAGGATGACCTATTTATATTGCAGAAGTATTTCAAAAGAGAAGCAAATTGTATCACTCAGAGTTACAGAGCATTTAGTCTATGAGGAAACAGTCGTCTTTCACAGAGCTTGCACACATCCATTGCAGACTGGAAAGCTGAAAGCACCTAACAGTCAAGGAAACTGGGGATTTTTCCTGTCCTAGTGTGGACTTGCATCTAAATTACCAAAAAGTCACCATTTTACCTCCCCAAGAAATTTTTATTATTCCTTCTTTTGAAAAATGCTTCCTCCCATTCTGCTGTGCCTGTATCTTTCTCAGGTCCTTGAATCACTGTCCATGCTGTGACTGAAAAGGTAGCTGAGAGAAACAATTTAGATAGCAACATGATAGAGAAACAGGAGGGGAGATTTTTATTTCCACTTTTTATAAACAGTAGCACCAAAAAAAAATAATAGTTCTATCAAAATGTGGAGAGAGGAATATATATTTGAGCAAAGACAGCCACTGCAGTGAGCAGGATTTGTTTTCATCCTGTCTCTTCGATAGTTGACCGTAATCAAACAACATGAAGTCCATTAGGAATTTGCAAAGAAGGCACAGATACTCTCTCTTCAAAACTGATTGACCACTTCACAAGATGATTTTAAAAATTTAGATACTTAAGCACATCCTAAACATAATCACATTTTTACAATTCTGTGCTTAAAGCATATTGTTTTGCTAGTACCTAATTTCTGATTCAAAAATCAGAAAAAAAAAAATGAACTCAGCTGCATACCTATTAAGATTAAGCTGTTTTTTGATTGAACTTTTTATAGGTTTAAATGATGAAATGCTGCCTATACAATCAGATGCAAAGATCAAACATATTAAATCCAGAATCCACAAATAAAAGAAAACTAGACTCCTTTGCAGAAGGTATAGCAGGTGTTTTAGAGGCAGGTATTTGTAAGTAAAACTATTTCAACTACAATCACTGATAATTTCGAAGGACAAATGCATATGATTTTACTTCTGCCAATACTTCTGCAATTATACTTTATATTTAATGAGAATTAAAATATAATTGTAATGATTTCAATCCCTTTGCATGTGTCTACACTTCAGTCTGCTGCCCAGTGTAAATATGAGTCCCCTTGCTTGCCAAGCACAGCCTGTCTGCTCCAGGCAAGAAGCAGGGCAAATAAGTTATGTCGCTACTCTTAGGCCCTTTACAGTCTCCAGCCTGCTTAAGCCTTACCTTAGACTGTACTGTGCCACACTGCTGTTTGCAGTGTTGACATACCCTCCTTTCAATAACTTGGACAGCAAGAAACCATCAGCAAACCATAGCATAGTTCTCAAACAGAGTTTCAGACCTGTGAGCTGCTAGTGAATAGCGGTCTCCGTGAGAGCAATGTAATTTAAAATCAATATACAGAGCCCCTGTGATTAATATTCATGCTACATACCCCAGAATAAAGAGGAGATGCCAGCCTTATCCAAAGCCCTCTGAAACTGATGGAAGTCTCTTCATGGACTGCAATGGTCCCTGGGTCAAGGCCCACGTATCCAAGTTTTTTTTTTTTAAAGAAGGAATTCACTCCACATTTTTCAGTCCCTCACATTTATTGTTAGTAAAGCTCTGTCAAAATGATGCCTTCTTCTGGAATGGGACTCTTGCTGAAGCCAGTAGGAGTTATATATACAAAGACCAAAGACATAATTTTAATGTAAAACTAATTAAAAAGTGGAACGAAACTTGATTTTGAAACAACACAAGATACGGTTTAGTGAGAAAGCAAATCTTTCTTCTTAAGAGTACAAAATAATTCAGGTTTTATATATCTCAGGTTAGAAAAGGAAATTTTCTGTGAGGCACAACCTCCAAAGTGTACATTAAAAAAACACTCATGTAAACCTAACATCATGATAACCATCTTCAAACAGTTCAATTACAGTCTCCAAGGCTAAGTACATAAATGGTAAATTAAATATGGCCATTTAGATTATTTTATGCAAAACATTTTTGTCTACTTATTAAAGGAATTTAATAATATTTATAGGTGTCCTAGTTAAATGTGGATTGGCAACGTATTAAAGAATAAAATCTTGTTTATTTTTATGTCACCTTATAAATTTTCAAAGTCCAAGTTCTCTCACCACTGTATACAGTAATTAGATTAAAACTACTTTCAAATACTTTCCACCACATCTGTTACATTAAACATCTTGCAGAAAACACAATGTCTATATAATCATTTTACAGTGATTATCAAAAACTATCATGGAATTAAACAAAAGTGGATTGATACGGTTTCTTCTCCTCCCAAAATAAAATGCTAGCACCAGAAAAAACATCATGATTTAAAACTCAGTGCTGGCTATCCTGCTCTCCTTTTCTTTCATTTTAGTAACTAAACAGAACTTATTTTCCAGAGAATGACTGTTAAATGTAAATTGGTTTCCAGAATAGTTTTCAATAACCAGCTTTTTTGCTTGCATTTTGTTTCAAGAGGGAAAACAAGAAGTTATAAAAAAAAAAGCAAAGAAGAAAAGATAATATCTTGGAAATAAGAAAGTCCTACTGTCAATTAGCAGTGAGTCCCTACAGAGGCAAAAGTAGACATTTCACGGCGAATGGTACTGAAAGGGGAGAGCTCCAGTTCTGTGGTATATTCGTTGTCATTGTCATCACTCGTCACCGTTGAAGATTTCTGGATGCACTCATCGCAGCAGCAGCAACAACACTCCATAAAGGCCCGGCTGAAAGGTTTGCAGAGGCAGAAGAGGAGAACAGGGGTAACGCAGGACTTAAAGAACAAAAGGAACTGACTAATAAGGTGGAGGAGATCCATAGTCTGCCGTGACACCCCCGTGGACATGTAGGCAGTCACAATGTTGCAGATGTTTTCAGGAATGATGCAAAACCCATATAATATGGTCAAAGCCACCACTGTGCAATTCATCTGACTTTCCAGCTGGATCTGCCGCTTATTCCCTCTCGTGCAAGCCTTTTCCGCCCTCCTGATCTTCCTTGCTGTTACCAGGGAGCAAGTGATAGTGAAAAGAGTAGGCAAACAAAAGTAGCAGCCAAAGTACCACCAGAGTCTTGCCCCATCATAGGTGAGAGCCAACACATAGATGGTATCGGGTAGCGTGGTGGAGATCTTCACCACACACCGCTCTCCGGGGGGGCTGCCGCTGTACTCGGGGTCTTCCTTGGTGAGCTGGCGCAGCACCACCTCCGGCAGCGCCAGGAGCAGCGCTCCCACCCATATCACGGCCAGCTTGGCAGTCGTCGACGTGCAGTTTTCAATCATCTCATAGTACATCTGCACATTGGTGGCAGCACGAAAGCGGTCTATGCATAGGGCACACAGTGTGAATGTGGTGACCCCGAGAGAGGCTACCTGCAAAGGAGAAAAGGGAGCACATTTTAACACAGTCTGAAACAGTAAAGAGAGAGGGAAGCTTCAAGGCTACGGTCTTGATGTTATTCTTCCCTGATGCCTAGCAAATTATTTCAGGGACAGTGGCAAAATTTCATCAAAATTTCTCTTTCAGAAGTTCACAGAAGTTCAGAAGTTAGGACAATCTTCTGCGAGATGGAAGATGGTCTGAATTCAGTTGGGCAGAAGAGATAATTAATTCCTTAGACACTTGCTACTGAGCTGTTCTCTGAACAGGGGGCACGTACTCTTTCAAAGTTAAAGGGAACAAATTAAAGGGAGCTTAATTAGTGCTCTGAACACTTGGTAGTCTAGTGTCTTGAATGACAGAGGTAAAGAGAAATCTAGCTTATGGGTATCTGTGTAGGAGACAGTTAAGGACCATGCTGCTTAGCCCGTCAAAAACAAGAGGGATCACAATCAGATCTTCTCTTCAAAATGTTGTTGAACTACCACCTACCATAGATCTCCACAGAACAAATTGTTCAGTTTTTCTGCCTCCAAATACTTATTTCAACTTGGTGTCGTCCTCTCCTGAAAACTTAGACAAGTATCAGTATGATTCTGAGGAAAGAAAACCGGGAAACTGAACTGTATTCAAAATGAAATTCTCCCTTTCCCCATTTTCCAGACGGCTAATTTTCAGAAAGATCAGTTCCATCACAGGGGTTGGAAATAGAAGTCTAAGGGGGAGAGATGCAAGAATCTTTCCTCAACAGAAATTCTAACTTATGCCCACCTAAATCATTTATTAGCTGTGCAAGGGATCATAATGTCAAAATCTTAAGTGCCTGCAAAATGTAGGAACCTTGAAGATGAAGAGTTCACTCACTGGAGCAAGCTCTCTCAATTCTGGCTGTGGACTTGGGCTCATGTTGATGGGATAAAGGTTTCTTGTACTCTGAGTTCAAAGAGACTAACTGAAATCTTCCAAAAACCTGTGCAAAAGCACTCTTGATAATTACACTTTAATAATGTATCTTTAGGATGTCTTCTGGGAAAAAAATCACAGGAAAATCTAGGCTTAATTACATAGGAAACAGTCTAGTAGAAGAGTTTACTGCAGACCAGGATATAAATAGCAGAACTTTCATTGTTTAAATGATCTAAAGATGGATTGGTCAGAGCTCTCATTTATATAGTGCAAGAAGAAAGTACAAAGCAATGGATATGCTTTCTAGTTTTAATAACCATCATCCTATACACAAACAGAAATCTTGTACTCTCATGCAGGGTAATTTCCTATAATTTTATACTGTTTATAATTAAAATTTCTAAAAACAAATTTGCAAGAATGCTATATATATTTTGGCCTACTCCTATTTCCAATAAATACAACTTCCATTCAAATTCTAAGCAGAACTCCCATTAACTTCAACTGGAGAAAGATTAGGCTTTCTGCTGCATTCTAATTCATTTATTTTCTTGGTATTGTAGGCTGCTGTTATGCTCAAAATGTCTTAATGTAATAAAAAGTATCTTGTTAAATAACATTCCTGATAACTTTAAAGAATGCATGCTTACTTTTTATCATGAATTAGCCATGTGCCTGTGCAGTTAACTGATAAATTTAGGATGATAAGCAGTTCACTGTAATTACTGCTTACTCAGATTTGATGTGAACTGATATATTTAAAAAATTTTATTCGTACATTTCAAAAATGCATTCTGATTTCTAACATCATTTTGAGAAATTCTTATTTATGCAGCTCCCATAAAAATTTCTGCAGATAGATAGTGCAATTATGCACAATTATAGAAATGTATCATTAATTTGAGCCTTCAATATTTAATAGCCATATCAGATTGCTAGAATTGAATATCACTGAAAAATATTAGGCACTTGGGAATAAAACTGTCAAGCATTGGCTTAGCTGGCTAATTCCATGAAACAGTTCCCTACAAGATGGAATGAGGAAGATGCAATTGCTTATTAATTAACCTGCAACAGAAAGAATAATTGATGTTGTCAAAGCAGTACCGTCAATATTTTTAATAGGCAAGCCTATTAATTTAGGGTGGTAAACTGTATAATAAGGCTCAAAGAAAGCTTGTTAAATACTAGTAAAAAATAAAAGTTACTTAAAAAAAGAGGAAATCTTAAAGAACAATGTTAAACTTAGCTAATAAAAGATAACTTTCATATATCAATGCTGATAGTCATACTGTTATATTTAAGACTAGTGATTTCGTTTCCAAAACATTTAAATGTGTGTGAAGTCTTTCAATTCCTCAGGGTGACAGCAAAACCTTTAGCTAGAACATCCAACATGAATAATAAAACAGTCAAGGCTCAGCTCTCTTCAATTACAGCAGACAGGGAAATAACGGAGACTCAAAAATGCATATGATCTGAAAAAAAAAGAGTAAAACAGAAGAAAATCTGTATTTTTCTAAATTTGAGATTTCTTCCTTTAGCTTTTACTCCAATGTGGCGAGATGAGCATCTTCCTCCTCCCGCCCCACCACTTTTATTGTTTTAGCATTCTGTTACAAACATCATGTTATTCAGTGGCTACGACATTAAAACTCTGCAGCTGTTAAGATCGGGACTAATGAAAGAAGACATGTCTACCATGAACAAACGTAACCTACGGGGTTCCTGTCACATTAATTGACCAACCACTTGGAGGTTTAAGATAGTGAAATAGAGCAAGAGGAAACAAGTAAGAACAGTAGAAGTCAGCTCTGAAAATTCTCCTGTGGGTTCACTGATGGAGCAAGCTAAACAAAACTATGTGTCTCTGCAGTAGGCAGTGGTTTCCTATTTTCTATAGATTAACAGAGTGAGTGATGGAACATTTTGCTTAAAGACAAAATAAAAAAGAAGAAATAAACACCTCAAAAGATAAATCTTTTTCCAAGTCTTCAGAATACAGATGAACAGTGATTTACTACGGCCAACCTATTTACAGATACTAGAGTAATTTGAAGGTCCAATTTCTTCCCTCTTTTGCTTCTCCTGGGTTTCAGGAGATTATTCATAGCCATCAAATCAATGGGTGCAGTGTAGGGCCTATGTGGGTAAGCAATGGGCTAAAGTACAAATTCTAAAATACTGCATAGGGTATATTGGTGCTCTGCTAACTAACAGCACAGCTCAGTAGCAGCCTCTGGTATACTGTCACAGCCTTAATCCCAGCTTCATTTCTCTTATGACAAGCACTAACAGAAAACTAGGAGGGGTAAAAGTAATTCAGGCCTAGTAGTTTTTGATCATCACTTAGAGGTCTGATTTATTTCTGTATGATCCCTAGGAAGATTCTCTTTCATTCATATCATTTGATGTCTTCGAAGTGCACAAATTTCTAACTGAAAGATCTGCTTCAAGGAGGTGGGTAAGCATCACCTTTCCCATAATAATTTGGACATAGAACTTCTTCTTTTGGGATTACTAACTATAACACATACAACTCAAAAAGACTGTTGTATTGTGTCAGGAGAGATTCTTTTAATATTGTTGTTCCTTTAAAAGCACTGACAGGGATGTTATTGGGCACTATGGTGCTCCTTCAAGACTCTGCATCAATCATTAGTTCACCAGCTGTTAATCAACTGTGTCAGAGCTCACTTTGATAACTGAGGCCATGGAAAGCCACAGCAAACTCATGAACTGCTCAGCTGGACTGCCTCAGTCTCCCTCCCAGTCCTTCCAACACGTTCAATTCCCTTCCACGTGCTCTAACAACCACGGAAATGTCCTCTGTCTCTCTCTGGCCTGTCCTGCTTCTTGTCCTGGATGCAGGTCGGCTGGAAGCAGAGCCTCCAGCTGGCCCAGGGAGCAGTGCAGGTTAAGCAGGGTGAGCAATGTCTCCAGAAATAAGACTCTGAATTCCTTAATTCTGTCTCACTAATACCTGCTTGACACGATAAAGACAATGAAAACAGAAACAAGATCAGAAGGGTGACTGGCTGCTTCTAATAGTGGAAACTGGATTTTCAAGGCTGGATTTTCTTAAATGACATGGCATTTCTTTGTTAGAAGGCAGGATGATATTCAAAAGATTTCCCTGTCGTAACAGGAAAGACGGACAACAGAAAAGTTGAACATTGCAAAGGTAGCTGAACTGACTGTGATGTCTCAGCAATAATCCACCAGACTCTTTCTCTCTCCTTCTGTTACATCATAAAAAAAAAGACCATAAAGTTATTTTTTCTCCTGAGTCATTAAAGTCTATCATCTTATTATAATTACTTTATATTTACGTCAAACTCCATATCTTTAGGGCATTTTTCATGCAACATACCACAGCAGATCTTCCATACTTCTAAGTCTTGTCTAAGATAAACAAAGCTAGGGGCAGACTGCAATTATTTTTCTTGTGCTTCTCTATATTTACAAGAATAAGACTGGATTTCTGCAAAATAAAATGTCATCCCATCGCAAACATTTAATTGTTTAATGTACATTTCTAGTTTTAGTTCTTTCAATTAAAAAATACATTCCTACAAAAGAACAAAAATGCATAAATGTACTCTATATTCCCCACATGAAGCTCTATGAAAATATTTGTTTCTGGCTATATGTATTAAAATAAGTACGGTTTATTCAAGTAGTTAAATCACTACTGTGATGTGGCTGAAATAATTCAGTGGGTGGATGGTAGGAGGGTTAGAGGAACCTTCTGATATTAGCAATTGCTTAAGCATCTTGGAGGAAAAGATATCTTGCTTTATCTATCTGGAAAACAACGTGGTAACACAGAGATGCTCCACAAGTGCATAAAACATTTCTTTCATGATGTTATCAATGCTCATATCAAAGAGATATGAAGTATGTTTGCTTTGTGTCTTTATGATCATTTTGTATATCCTAGGAGCAATAATGTTCAGAATTAACTGCTGCTTTTGAACTATGTTGGACAATAAAGTTACCCAGCCTGACAGGTCCTTGGAACAGTCATTAGGACACCACACAACTATCCAAAGGGTTGGAAAAATTGCAAAACACAGAAGGACTC